TTCAACCTATCCCAATCCATATTACAAACAGCCAATCTACTTGTAATCTGAAAGAACATAAAATTCAGAACATAAAATTCTAGGTTTAATTGTTGAATGTTGTGGGGAATACACAATTCTCTACCAGAACTCAGTGATAAAAATCAAAGTCAGCAATAAACTTTGCTGAAAAAAATAAAAGCAGCATTGTTGTCGTGACTTTTTATCACTTAAAGTAGCAAAGATGAGAAGCATCAATAACCAGAGCACATAAAAATGACATAAATAGTGAAGCACCACAGAATGGACTGCACCAATCACAGATTTAGAACTGCAGTGACAACATCATCACTCAGGATTTTGTTAACATCAAACATTGTTAGTCTCAGGAGCAACCACTACCACTATTGTGACAGCACTAGAGTGCTGTGATTTCTTTACACACTGACTGTACTACATGTAAAGTCTTATTTCACTGTCTCATGATGCCTTAATTTCTTAAAGTGTGAGTTAAATAACTAAATTTTTGAAAAGTGAAAAAAATCAGTAATGAACAAAAGCAGTACTATTTAAATTCTGCAATTACTGAAAGGCTCCATTTTGTTTGTCCTTTCACATGTAGACAGCTCATCCATAGCTATAGGTAAGTGTGCTTAGGGGAAGAGGAGATACCAGTGAAAACTGCAAGTCTCTCATTGTCAGACAATTTCATTACCACTTCCATTCTATCATTAAAAGGCTGAAAAACCTTTATGAAAATTACTTCCACAAACTGTTCCATAGCTGATGGTCTATAATGAACTCATAACATTTCTGAGTTTGTCATGGAGCAACTTTTCACATGCAAAGTGGAAATACCTCAAAGTATGCTTTTTACATGCAAAGTATGTAAAAAGCAGCTCTGAAAGTTGCTTTCCACATACCTCATCTCCACGAGGGGCATCTTTATCCAGCTCGCGCCACGAGTGCTCGATCTCTGGCTCCTTTGGAAAGAGCTCATTTAAATCCTCATCATCCTCTGAGCTCGTGTCAATGTTCCCTATGCCTCTGGCTAGATCAGGCCCACTGTCACTTTCTTCATCATCTTCTGAATCACTGTCATCTTCATCCATTTCCCCATCATCTTCTGGCTCCTCTTCCTCGCCTGCTTCTCCACCATCGTCTGATTCCTCTTCTTCCAATTCTGCATCTTCACTTGAAGAGGCTTCTTCCTCTAACTGGCTTTTACATTTTACACTTTGGTCACAGACATCTGAGCACAGAAAGATAAACATTAGATACATTTTTATGTTACAATTACACATGACCCTTTACAAAAAGGAAAACTTCAGGGCTTTTTCATACCTATTTACAAGACTCCTGAAAGGTGTAACTATGCAGCAGCAAGTAACAGAAAACATCAGTGTTTCCTCTTTTGTTTGTCTGGTCTAATCTAATTTAATTACTCTTCAGGCCCAGAATTGTACTATCAATCACAACTGTAATTAAATATTCTGCAATTTTATTTATATTACAGAATCAACATGTAGAAATCTATTTAATAATGGAGACTATACACATGCACAAACAATATAAATAGTTTTTCTTCTAAAGCCTTGTTCTTTCTAATCCCCCCTAATATTAATGGCTCAGTGCTGCCATGTTTACAATTTCAGTCCACAAGCTGTGATGGGCCTTCATGGTATCAGTTCACACATCTCCTGATCAGTTTGATAAACACAGCAGTGTATATGCTTTTACAAATTTTACTTTCCTAACTAACCAACAATTTCAGCTCCAACAATTAAAAGGACTGGGATGTTCACAATCTTACTGAAGAATCAGAACTGATTCTATGCAGAGCTGACCAACTCCAATCCTTCAGCAGCACTGAATCTGAGTCAGCCAGCTATTTTATAGCTAATCTTGCAAAATATCTTCCATGGATAAAACAAAAGCATCAACATCCACATGAACACAACTGAATTCTCCTTGTTATTTGAACAACTAACCTGATTCTTTTATTTTCCCTCCTAGGGAGTGGTCCCTCTTGGGAGCTTTGACTGATTTGGTGGCACTTCCTTGTGAAGACTTTTCCTTGTTTTGAATTGAAATGGGTCTTCCTCCTTGCTTGTTTTCCCCTTTGGGTAGAAGGCCCTTGTTTCCCTGAGAGTGGTCATCTTCCACTGCAGGTTTCTGTGAGTCCTCTTTCAAGCTGAGCTTAGATTTACTTTTTTGTCCTTCTTTTTTAAGGTCATTTAGTTTAGTCACTGCTTCACATGTTTGGTCCATCCCATTTTGGGTTTTTTTGCCCTCCTCCTTTGGGAGGTCACCAGCAGGGATCTTTGCAGATTCTCCTTCTCCTTTACCTTTCTTTTTCTTTTTTTTCTTTACCTTGAGCTCTTTACTCTCACTTTCTGAAAGATCAGAGTCAGATTCTGACAAGGCATAAAACTTCCTGAGGTTCTCTGCAGAGCTGTAGTTAACAGGGCGACCTCTTTTATCCACTGTGTACCTCAGCTTGAACTTCTTGTCATGGAACATGGCTCGGAATCGCTTGTCAATCTTGACTTTACGTTCCTTTTCAGGCATCTCCCAAAACCTGGGATCCCTGGCAACGCAGCTGAACCGGCCATCGCTCAGGATTTCCTCCATCTTCGATGCCATTTTTGAAGACTTTGACATCTACAATATGGAAAAAACCCCAAACATTCCTGATTAAAAAAAAAAAAACTTAACAAAGTTGGATTTCTAACCTATACTTAAGAAGTTCTTTCCAAAAGCACATATGGCAATTTCATAGCATCACATGCCACTATCACCATATTTTCTGAAAAATCCCTTCACCAGGACTTTTCTCCTGAAAAGCCTCAGAAAAAAAAAAATGTAAACAAGAATTATCTGATTGCTTAGAATGTGGTTTAGAAGTTGTTTACCAAAAAGTGCATCTTTGATTAGTTCCATGTGAATTGTTTTTACTTAATGACCAATCCCAGTCCAGCTGTGTTGAGACTCTGATCTGTCACAGGTTTTTATTATCATTCTTGTCTAGCCTTCTGATGTCTCTTTTCTTTTTCTTTAGTATAGTTTTAATATCTCATTTTCTTTTAATATAATATTATAAAATATTATATTAAATATATAATATTAAATAAATCAGCGTTCTGAAAACCTAAAGTCAAATTCTCATCTCTCACCTCATCCTAAAAACCTTTCACAACATGGCAATGTGCCACCTGGTTGGAAGGGACCTCAAGAATTCCCTGGCCCAACATTTCCTAGCAAAAATACTGAATATACAAGATGGCCCAGCACTCTGTCCAGCCAAATCTTTTAAGTGGGAATCTTGGTTTCTCTATGTCTGGATTGAAGGCACTCGAGATGGTATTTCATGTTCTGACTCAGGTGTTTATTATTTCTTATCAGTAAAACAGTCTCACAACCATGAGTTCATTAGCAAGGCACAAAATGGCCAACAATCTCTTGTTACAAGGTCTTTTAAGACTAAACTATCCAATTAAGAACTGACACCCAGATTATTTTCCCTTTTACCCCAATAACTGATCCCAAAGAGCTGCAATGGGGACTTTTCTGCCCAATTACAAAATGCCACCCAAACCCATGAAGAAGAAGGAAGAAGAAGCATGAAGAAGAAACCCAGGATGACACCCTGTGCCCTCCATCTTGCTTCCATCCATGACATACTCAAAATCCCAAAACCTGAATTTCTCACCAAGTGATACACCTACACTGCTCTCTATAATCTATTTCACACCTTAGTGGATTCTAGTCTATTCTGGAAACTTTCTCTCTCTCTCTCTCTCTCTCCAGGAAACTTTCTCCATGATTGAGGGTCAAAGTCAGTGCTCCCCTGGGGGTCAGGGCACCCCAGAGCAGACAGAGAAATATTCCTGGTGCTCTGGGTTTCCACAGGAATCCACCACTTCCCTGGGGAGATTTTTCCAGTGGTTGAATGTTCTCATTGAGGAAAATTTTCCTCTTGTATCTAAATGGAATCTCTCCAGGAATAACTTGTACCTATTACCCCTTGTCTTTTGCTTGTGACTTCTTGTGAAAACAGTCTCCAGCTTCTCTGTAGCCACTTTTTAAACCCTGGAATGTAAGGATGAGGTCTCCCCTGAGCCTTCTTTCCTCAAGCTGGAACAAACCCAGTTCTCTCTGCCTTTCCTCACATGGCAGCTTCCCAGTCCTTTGGCCATCCTCATGGCATTTCTCTGGACCCTCTCCAGCCTGTCCACATCTTCTCTGTACAGCAGGAACCAAAACTGAACACAGATGTGACCTGACAAGCACCATGTGGCATAATGACTCCTTTATCTCTAGTTGATGGAACCTAGCAGCCTATTGGCTTTGATGCAGCAGCAGATTCAAACAAGTCACAAATAATCCTGTACCTACCACGCTCTCAGGCACAAATCTTTGCTTTGCCAGCTGCACTGGGAGCTCAGAAATCCCCTGTGCCCTGGGCTGTGTCCAAAGCTCCAGGGACAGGTAAGCAAGGGAATTCTGCCCCTCTACTCTGCTCAGGTGTGAGCCCACCTAAAGTGCTGTGTCCAGACCTGAGGTCCCAACACAGGAAGGACATGGAAGTGTTGGAGCAAGTCCAGGGGCCACCAAGATAAAGCAGTTCCTCTCCTACGAGAAAAGACTGAGAGAATTGAAATTGTTCAGCCTGGAGAAAAGAAGGCTTCAGGAGACCTAACTGTGGCCTTCCATCTGAAGGGAGCCTACAAGAAAGATGGAGAAAGACTATTTACAAGGGGCTGGAGTAACAGGACAAAGGGGAACGGCTTCAACCTAACAGAAGGTAGATTTAGATTAGATAGGAAGAAAAAAATCTTCCTTGTGAGGGTGGTGAGGCACTGGCACGGGTTGACCGGAGAAACTGTGGATGCTTCATGCCTGCAAGGCCACGTTGGATGGGGCTCTGAGCAACCCGGCCTGGTGGAAGGCGCCCCTAGCCACGGGAAAGGGTTTCGAACGAGTCCGTGTTTAAGATCCCTGTCAGCCCAGGCCATTCTATGATCCTACGATACACCTGGGTTGCAGACACATCCCCCGTGACTCCTCACCAGACCTTCCACGAGCTTAACCCAGCGCGCACCGCAGCTACAGCCCAGCAGCAGCACCAGGTGCGCCAGAACGCCTTCAGCCCCCACACCCGCTCCGTCCGCGCCCGCAGCGAGGAGCCCCGAGGCAGCTCCACTCACACCGACCGTGCCCGACGCCCGCAGGGAGAAGCCGCGGGTCCGCTCCGCTCACACCGACCCTGCCCGGCGCCGCCGCTCCCTCAAGACGCTGCCCGCACGCCGCCACCGCACGGCCCCTTCCGGCGGCGCTACGGCGGCCGCGGCGGGACACGGCTCCCCGGGCGCAGGCGCGGAGGGGCGCGGAGGCCGGGCCGATGAGGGGCCTGGCGCGGCCGGCGCTGAAGGCGCGATGGTGCCGCTCGCTCTGGGCGCTGCCGGCAAGGGCCGCCGCCAACGCCGCTTCTTCGCCTCCTCCTCCTCCTCCTCCTCCTCCTGTGGGAGCCTCGCCGGGCGCGCTGAACCCGTTCGACCGGCGGCTGAAGCGGAAGCAGAAGAACTGGGCGGCGCTGCAGGCCGAGCCCGCCAAGTGCGATTACCTACGGGAGGAGGTGCGGGGCCGGGGTCACCCCGAGTGCTGTGGCCGGCTCTGGGCCCGCAGCTCAGGGGCGATATTGAGCAGCTGGAGCGGGACCAGAGGAGGGCAGCGGGGCTGGAGCACAGGCTTGTGAGAGAGCTGGGGTGTTTAGCCTGGAGAAAAGAAGGCTCAGGGGTCGCCTTATCATTCTCTATAACTCCCTGGATGGAGCTTGTAGCCAGGTGGAGGTCGGTCTCTTCCTAGGCAGCCAGCGACAGGATAAGAAGACATCGTCTCAAGCTTTCTCAGTGGGAATTTCGGTTGGACATAAGGAATTTCCTCTCAGAAAAGTGTGATCAGACATTGGAATGGGCTGCCCAGGGAGGTGGTGGAGTCACCGTCCCTGGAGGTGTTTAAGAAAAGGCTGGACGTGGCACTCAGTGCTATGGTGTAGTTGATGTGATAGATGAGTAATGCGAGGATTGACTCTGACAATTAACAGACAAATAGCATGTATATAGGTTAAGAAAAGTTTTATAGGTTTATAGTTACGCCTTAACCCCTCGCGTGGTTATCAAGAGACAAGAGGGGTTGGGACATCGGGAAGGGCTGGCTTGTCACTATGGTGACATCTGAGCTCCAATAAGGATTTAAGGAAAAGATCTCCACCCCTCCACGCCTTTCTCCAGCGAAGAAGGGGTTGATGGACGGTACTTTGGGAGGGGCTAAAGGCTGACAAGGTGCTGGTTGCTAATAGGTTGTACTTTGTGATCTCAGAGGTCTTTTCCAGCCTCATTGATCCTGTGGTTCTGACCGCCGGCTCTCCCCCCAGGTCGGCGGCAGGATCGCGGACCGGGTGTTTGACATCACCAGGTGAGCCCCGCCGTGTCCCCAGCCCTCCCTTCATCCCCAGGGGACGGAATCCCCGTGGATATCGCTGGATGCTGAGCCCTTTTCTCCGAGGTACCGCAAAAGGATGCTCGGTGGGCTGAGTTTAATAAGGCCTTTAGAGATTGGCAGGGGAAACTTAATAGAGTCTAAAATTAAAAATATTTTAAGACTTGATTATGTTCTGTATACTGATCTTATCCTAGAACGTTTCCTCTGGCTTTGGATGTTGGCTCTGGAAGAGGTTACATAGCTCAGCACTTAACCAAGGTACTGTCTCTTTATACTTATAAGTGTTAAAAAAAAGTTCATATGTGTGCCTCCCTTTCAAGTAGGGCTCTGTTACAACTTAAGACAATCATCTGAGTCTTAATGAGGTAACTTTCCCCCCCCCAGCCCTGTACCTGTAGTTATAGCTCAAAGCTGTGTGTTGGGCAAGCTGTTCTTCATTTATTGCTGCTGAAAACTGGACAAATGTGTAAGGAAAATTATCTGTTGTGATACAGTTAATTTTTAGTTTTGGGTGTTTTGCCTGTTTTTTTGGTGAATCCACTGGCCACAGTTAGTTGCTGAAGAGAAGTCATTATGGAGGCTTTTAAGCCATTAACAGTTGACCATTCATGAACCACTCTGTAAGTAAAGGTGCTTCCTTGGCTGTTAATCCATGGTTTATATTTAACTAAACTTATGCTTAAAATTACAGAATGTGTTTTCTGTTAACCACTTCTGCCTCAGCTGTTCTCCCTGGGAGCAGGTGCCACATTGGGTGGGGAAAAGGGCTTTGTGCTTTATGTAAAGCTTCTATCAAGAGTGGAAAAGATTCTTTCTAATTTATTTTGAATAGGTGTGCCAAAAAATGACTTATGTCCATTTAAAAAATAATTCACATATTTAATAGACTTTAAAAATTTTATTTCAGGAAACAGTTGAAAAACTTATTCAAGTTGATATCGCAGAGAATGCTTTAGTAAGTAGTTTTTTGAATGCTAAAGTGCTTCTATTCTGTAATAGAGGCAAGCAAAAAAGTTGAGGTTTTGATGGGCTGTTTTTCTTCCAACCCAACATTAGAAAAATGCTATAGAATCTGAAATCCCAACGGTCAGGGTTGTAGCTGATGAGGAATTCCTTCCTTTCAAAGAAGATACATTTGATCTTGTTGTCAGCAGCTTAAGGTATGTATTCATAATTTTTTTTTTTTGTTAAGTTGTTAATAATGTTCTTTTCAGAGTAGCTTTAAAAAATAAATCCAACAAAGATTGCTAGTCTATTAAAAAGCAATAAGAGAAATACTTGCGTAGTTAATATGAGCATGCATTAGGAAAATCTGTTGTCCTGGTGATTCTTCCTGTTTTGATTGTTTAATTTTCTTCAAAACACTTGGAACTTCTCTCTTTCCTGCATTTTGACAAACTAGTCTCCAGGACATGTGTTTTCTTACCAAAAGGAAGTGCTGGGTGGATAAACTTCTGTTCGTGTTTGGTATCAGTTCCAAGCAGGTGTTTTATGGTTGCACCCTCAGAAATAAGTTTGTGGCTTTAGCTCCTGAAGCTTACTTAGCTAATTAAGGTGGTTACTGGCATTCCCTAATTTTGATTTGATCTGAAATTGTAAAATGTACACTTCTCTTATTTCAGTTTGCATTGGGTGAATGACCTTCCTAAAGCTTTCAAAGAGGTAAGAAATTGTTTTTTAATAGTCTAGGTTAGCACTTGCCATTACTTGCATTGACCAAGACTTTTTGGTATTGGAATAAAGCAAATACTTGTTTAAGACAGAAAAGTATTTTTTTTTTCACTAACAGTTTTGGTTATTTTGGGTTACTTCAGCTCTTTCCTGCAGGTGTAAACTTTAGTCAAATCAAACATGTGGTGCAAGAACAAGGAACATGTTAACCAGTTTGCTGGTTTTTAATTTATTTCAAATTGATCAGTCATTGCAGTGCTGTCCTATCACCTGTTGGTAGGACTACCCTATTGTTCCTGAAATAATAAAAATCATTTGAAATGCATTCAGTACCTATAAAAAAAAAAACCTTGAAAGAAATACACAATTTTCACTGGAATTTAAGTATTCTATGGAGGGTCAAATACTTTCTCCCACAGTAAATATAACTGACACTGTTTCACAGTAGCAAGGGAACTGGGCTTCTTGGCCAGGTTTCATGATCTCCTGTGTTGTCTTTAACTAATGGAAACTGCCTTTAACTGCCTCATTTTCTTACCTGTCAATTAAAGGCTTTTTTACTAGCACAGAAAAGGTAGCTTGATTAATACTTCATTAAAAAACTATTTAATTTTTTTTATTTTCAAAGGCATGGGAAATGCTTGCTGTCTTGATAGCCTGGTTATATAATGAGGTACTTCTGGATGTCTAAACCAGAAATCATTTCCAGCTCTTAAAGAAAGGAGAAAACATGAATTTATTCTTCACTACGAAAAGGGCTAGAACTTAAGGACCAGAAAGCAGCTTGTCAGCCTTGGTGTTTGAATTATGATATTGCTGTTTTGGCAAGTTAATAATAAGTAATCATAGGGCATTACTCAATTGTCTCAGAAGTGCAGAGATCGGTACTGGAAGCTAAAGTTAAATCAAGCCATTAAAAGGTGCTTTTGCTGCTCTTAGAAAGTAAAAGTAAATACCATACTTACCTTAATCTAGCCTCCTTTTAGATGTAAATTAATTTAGAATATTTTTTTAGGAGTATTGTGCTGAAAATAGTTTTACCCTCAATTTCCATGGTTTGTTCCATGGTTCCTGGCTGTAAGTGTAATTTCTGAGGATTTCTTCTTAAAAATAGAAAATAGTCTCTCTTCAGCCAGAGCAGTGTGAGCAGAAGCTGTGTCACAGCTTGCCCTGCAGAATACAGTCAATATTAAAAATCTGTCACAGCTCTTACAATGATTGCTTTTGAGTTCTTTAAGATAAAAAATCTGAGAACCACTTAGTTACATATAGGAAACAAGGCCACCCCTGTGGCAAGGAGAAATGATGAGGAGGACTCCATCTTATCAGAAAGCTAATTAATTACTTTATTATACTATATTACATTACATTACATTCAAATTGAATCTATTATACATTACATCTGAATATATGACATCTAAACTGAATCTGCCAAGCACTCCACTGCACAGAATCTCGTGACTGTCAGCTGACAGTCCTGACACACACATGCATGGATTCAATTGGTCAATGAATCAGAACACACCAGAATCCAATTAACAGTTCCCTTCAGGTAAACCATCTTCCAGAATGCATTCTGCTTGTGAACAACACAGGAGCAGTAAAGGAGATAAGAATGGTTTTGATCATTCTTTGCTTCTCTAACTGCTTCTCCCAGGTTCAGAGAATGTGAATCTTGTGACTGTCAGCCGACAGTCCTGACACACACACACACAAAAAATGGATTCAATTGGTCAATGAATCAAAACACACCAGAATCCAATCACCAGTTCCCTTCAGGTAAACAATCTCCCACGATGCATTCCACTTGTGAACAACACAGGAGCAGTAAATGAGCTAAGAATTGTTTTGATCGTTCTTTGTTTCTCCCAGGCTCAGAGAATGGGATCCCACAGCCATGCCCTGTGTGTTTGTGTGTTGCAGATCCACCAGGTGCTGAAGCCCGATGGAGTGTTCATTGGAGCCATGTTTGGGGGGGACACCCTGTACGAGCTGCGCTGCTCCCTGCAGCTGGCTGAGCTGGAGAGGGAAGGGGGCTTCTCTCCTCACGTGTCACCCTTCACTGCTGTCGCTGATCTGGGACATCTCCTCTCCAGGGCTGGCTTTAACACCCTCACTGTGGTAATTATTAGGAAGAGAGCCATCAGGGAGAACAATCCAGAACGTCAGAGCTGCTGGAATGTGAAAATCGCTGTTTGCTAATGTAGCAATGACAAACGGCTTCCTTCTGCATGTGGTGCACCTCGCTGAACAGGCTGCAGAAATAGCCTGGACTGCCACTGGTTTTGGCTATGTGGTAATTAATGGAACCAACTGTAGTGTACACTGAAGTGTATCTTTGGCTCATAGCCCAGTAGAATTTGGATGGTTTTCTTGAAGAAATGTCAGAGAATATTAGACCTGCATGAAAAAATTATAGACACTTGCTCTTTCTTCTAAAACCAAGAAGAAAATAATGGCATTTAAATTAAAATTTGATTGCATTTGAGCTGCTAAGCAAAACTTTTTAGAAAGGTTAAAATAGTACATGCTTCCTAAAAATACATGATTTGAGCAGAAGAGGCAGATGAATAGAATTGTAGAATGGTTTGGGTTAGAAGGGACCTTAGATATCATCTAGTTCCAACCCTGCTGCCATGGGCTGTCCTAGTCATATTTTCTAGAAAAATCCCTTTGCCCAGGATTCTTCTCCTGGGAAGCTGAGAAGCCTCAAAGAAAAAGGAAAACAATATTATCTGATTTGCTTCTCCTGTGTTTTGCTGCTTTAGAATGTGTTTAGACATTGCTTACCAACAGGTGGTTGTTTCATTGGTTTCATGTGAACTGTTTTGACTTACTGACTAGTCAGGGTCAAGCTGTGTCGGGGCTCTGGAAAGAGTCACAAGTTTTCTTTAGTATCTTTTTAGCTTTCTGTAAATATCCTTTCTGTGTTCTTTAGTAAAGTTTAGTTTAATATTCTTTAATATAATATAGTATCATAAAATGTAAATCATAAAATTACCCTTCTGAGAATATAAAGTCAGATTCATCATTCCTTCCTTCATCTGGGAACCCTGCAAATGGGCAGGGAATAGTTTGGTAGTACAGCAAGGTTGAAATAATGCTATTGGTTTAGTTTGATACGCTCTAAAATGGAACTTCTCAATTCTTCTAGGATACTGATGAAATCCAAGTGAACTACCCAGGGTTATTTGAGGTTATGGAAGACTTACAAGGCAAGTATATTCCTTGTGGAAACATAAATGTTTTCTGTATCAGTGGACCAGGCACAGAACTGTTTTACTGTCTGTTTTTTAACTCCAAATCATAGACTAACTAGTGTGGGTTGGAAAGAACCTTTAAAGGCCATCTAGTCCAACTCTCTGCAGTGAGCAGGGACACCTTGAACTAGATCAGGCTGCTCAGAGCTCCATCCAACCTGGTCTTGGACGTTTCCAGGTATGGGTCATCCACCACCTCTCTCAGCAACCTGAGCCAGTGTTTCACCATCTTCAACACAAAGAATTTCTTTCTTAAAAAAATAAAAATAAATCTTATTGCGACAGGGGAAGCATTAGGGTTTTTTCCTGCTATCTAGTGAGTCAGGAGTTTTGTGTTGGGAGGCACAAGTCAAAGATTTCCTATTTCATGCTCTGCTGTGAAAACTGCATATTCTGCTTCCCTTGGGTTCCTGTTCTACATGAGCCTGTTCAGTGTAAGGTGCAGAAAAGCCCTTAAAGGGAGACAGAGGCCCATATCCCACACACTGACTTTTCCTGTAAGCCTTTCTAATTAGGAGGGCAATCAGCAAACTGCTTTGGAATGAGAGTAAATATATTCTTAATGTGGAATATGCTGAGGAACAGCCAACAATTGAGTAATGATTTTGTTAATATTCTGATTGCATTTGCCATGGATTGTAAAGCAGTCATTCACATGCAGTCTGTTGTTACTGCCAGCAACTCAGGGCATTTCTTTTCTGGATGCACTGCTATATGGAGTCATTCCTTAATGGAAGGGTAACTTTTATTGAGCAGAAACATTCAGATGCAGTAAGTGATTAAAAATATTAGAATTGTGGTTACTTTATTTTGTATTTTAAATCTCTTGGACTAGTAATTTTAATGATTGCCTGTTATAACAGTACAGTCATGTGTCTGAAGAAACCCTTTGTACTCATTCTTAAAATCAGTTATACTTAAAAGCCTAAATGTTCGAAGACTCAGGCTGAAGAAGGAATAGTTTGAAATGATTCCTAGCAATGCAAACTGTAAATTGCAAAGCATAGGAATTAAAAGTTCTGGATTCTTACACATAAGAAACTCACCTAATGATCTGTGGTGTGTTCTGTCTTACAGTGAATAGCAGAGGATTCTGTACTTTGGTTTTGTAAGAATCTGTCCTTAGTGCATGACACTTAACTCATGGCATGTGCAATATCTTCTTTTTCTTAAAGCTAAAACATATTTTTAGGTATGGGGGAGAGTAATTGCTCTTGGAATAGAAAACCTCTGCTGCACAGGGAGACAATGCTGGCAGCTGCTGCAATATACCAAGGTCAGTATTTGAGAGTAATGAGTTCATCTAAAATGACTTCAAGAACATTTTTCTGTGTCTTTTTTTATGACCCTTTTGTAAAAAAAAAACCCAGAAATCTAAACAAGCCCAAAGCAAAACCAAAAACCCCAAATACTTGAGAACAAAATGCCATTATCATAAGCTATTTTTAACCTTAATTATAATGCCAGGATTTGAACTGTATTGATGCACCAGTATGAGATATTTTTATTGTCCTAAATCTTTCACCAGGAGTCATTATAATGAATGTGATGTTCTGAGAGCTGAGTGTTTCCTAGAGCTGACATCCTGTACCTTCTCTCTCCCCCTTCCTGCCCTAACAGAAATGTATGGAAACAGCAATGGCTCTGTACCTGCCACCTTTCAGATCTACTACATGATTGGCTGGAAATATCACGAGTCACAGGTAATTTGAAGCTCTTATTTTCTCTTTGAAGGTACTATTTAATAAGTGGTGTTTTAAAAGCTTTTTACCAAACTTTTTTTGTTTAAAATTAGCCCTGTATGTTTTTTTTTCCCCCAGGCAAAACCAGCCCAGCGAGGTTCTGCAACAGTTTCGTTTGGAGATCTGGCAAAAGTAGAAGGACTTCTTAAAAGAGGAAAAAAATAGTTGTTCTTCAGAAATAATAATTGCCTTGAAACTTCTATAAAAGTTTTAATTGCAGACAGTCTTCACTTGTGCTTATCTAGTGATGACCTCCTGAAATGATAATAAAGTATGCACAATAGAGCTTTTTGTACTGTGCCACAGCATTTTCTGTATAAAAAGGTGTTAATTTTTTCTTTCTAGGTAAATATTTGAGCAGTTTGCTTTCTCAAGTCTATGAGAGAGCAATTCAACTCTCAACTTTTTATTAAATTTACTATTTTCAAATATAATGCCTCTTTCAGCATTTCACTATCACAGGCTGCTCCAGGTAGGGTTTACATGTCTTGAATGCATTTTTGAATTATTTCTCAAGGATAATAGATCATAATAAATGATAGTGTATTATAAAAGTAAAGGTGTAGTTATGAGACATCCTATAAGAGAAACTATTAGCAAATATAAAGATATAAATTATTATGGTTTTTTGAGTTGGGAAGTATGGGTAAAAAGTTACTGTAAGAGATTTGAATAATTGATACTTTATCTAAAGGCTAGTTGAAAACTACATTTACACATCACTTTCCACTTTTCTGTGTCAGAAGCTAAAGAGCAAGAAGAGGAATTTTCTCTTTAGCTGTGCCATGGAGCTATGACTTTTCCTGTCTATAACTGCATTACCAGAAATTGATATTAATTGCAACGATGACCCATTAATATGAGAAGTTTAGAAAAAATCCCAGAGATTTTGCTTGATTGTAGCACTCATGGAGTTGGGGATAAAGAGACAGGATGAAGTCTGTACAACCAAATATGGAGTTCCATAAGTTTTATCCTAGTATCTGAGTGATATATCAGTCCTGGTGGAGTTAAAGCCTTTTCTTTCCTAGGCTTTTTTAAAATTATCCACCAGGTGGAGTTTGACAGAATTTGTGTGTAGCACAACCCTAACAGGCCAGGTAGGCAGAGCTCTTCCCATCTGCCAGGTCCTGCTTTGGGGGGTTATTTTATTGACCAGGCTTTGACTTTGAATAAGAAATGGGCAGAGAAGGTACAACTCATGAGAAGGAGGGCAGCAATATTCTGTCCTGTTTTTACTTACAAGCCTAACCCATAATTATTTGAGGGAAATGAGTTCTTTTTTTTTTTTTTTTCCTAGAAAAGAACAGTAATTCTGCTGGAAAAAGGGGGAGAGACTCTAAATGGTCTGGTAACCTTTAAAGCTCTCTAAAGACTAAATCTAATACAAGAGCTTGTTTCTGTGAAAGCTTCTGTTTTTTAATACTCCATCAGTGGACTCAGTACAAGATACTGCATCATTCTACAGGTCCTCTCTGGCTTAAATAAAATTCCCTTGTTTCTGGAGGAATCTCTGGTTTCCCAGATATAGGTTTTTGTGAAGTTATGTGCCAAATTAATGTAACTTTATAAATCATTGCTTTAGTAGGTTAATTTCCAGTCACTTGAGCTGGTGGTTGTGACTCAGAAGCATTAAGGGAATGAGGAGGTGGAATGTGCTGGGTAAATGTTAATTGGAGAAGTGTTCCTACTGTGCTCCTTTGAAGTATTCAAGTTATGGTGAAAAGGAAGGATTTCCAGTTCTTTGATTTCATATTTCATAGATGGCATACATAAATAGTAAAGTGTTTTGGTACTGGGGAATCATCTTCTGAACAGGGAGAAAAGATAAGTAGCTTTCCTTCTAGCACTTTGGGGGAAAAAAGGTGTAGATATTCTATTAATCTGAAAAAGGTCTGGGGAGAAACAGAAGCAAGGAGTAGTAAATATGGTATTGGTGGAATGTGGGTTGGAATTAGGGAACATGTAACAGGCAGGCCAGGTGTTCATTTCCCTGTGTTTGAATACCTGCCTTTTGTGGGGTTTTTAACTGCACTTATGGGGTATTTTCTGTAGTGCTTCTTGGAGTTCTAGGTTACTTCTGGTTTCTACTAGTTGCTTGAATAAGTAACTTTGAAAACACTTAGTTTACTATGAAGAGATATTTTTGTCACAAGGCTCCTGTTTCATTTTAATTAAAACATTTTCATTCTTTTTCAGATTTAAGTCTTTATGGCTTTCTAAAATTGTAGTGAAGAAGAACATGCTTGCCAGTTGCTAGCCTAGTACTTTGTGTGCTGAGAGTCAGCTTTTTCAGAGCAAGTAACTCCTAAAAAGTGGTTGTGAAGGTGATGTAATGTCTCTTGTAAGCTTAGTTAACTTAAAAAGCTTTATGCATAATACAGAATATTTTTCTCCTGAATACAGAATGAGAAAAGAATTCAAGGAGATAATTATTTTGAATAATCAAAAGCTAGGAGCACATAAAATAAAAAGTGTAGAAGAAGCATGGTTGCACTTATTGAAGATGAGTATTTTTATTTTAGAGTTTGAGTCACAGATCAGTGAGTAGCTGGTCTGGGTCTTTGGTTACAAGATCTGTCAATGTGTAGTTTTATTCAAGTCTGTTTAGGATAAAGGAATGAGATCCTGTACTTTCAAGACTAAGAATTTGTGAAGTTAAAACATGAGAGAGGATTCTTCATTACCTCTAATTTATAAAAATGTCATCAGCAGAAGTACAAAAGCAAACCATACAAAATTAAATTTAGCTGTATTTCTTTACACTGTTTGAAAAAGAAAAATATGAATGACACTCTTTTAATGTTTTCTGGAAAAACTAGGAGCTAACAACTGAGCTTTTAGTTGCAGGGAGAGAAACACACCAAGCTTTCATGTGGTATTTAATTGGAATTTTCTGAAGCAAAAACCTGATCTCGGGGATTAAATTCATTAGAGCATCTTGTTTAAGAAGCCACTTTTTAGAAGGCTAGCATATATGTTAAACCTCTTAAGTTTCCATTTGTCTAACCCAAAGATTTAACATGCACTTTTCAAAGATGTGGTCCATTTTTGCCCAGGTTTTGGAGTCATTACTTTGGAGAAATGCAATTATTGTAGTCCTTTGATTGGAATCAGTCTGAGTACTGAAGCAAGTGTGACTTCCTGAATATCTTGGATGCTCTCAGGTGAAAGAAAAGGGAAAGAAAAATAAAAACCTGAGATAGGTAAGTTTAGTTGAAGGCTACATGTAAGAGTGAAGCAGAAGACACCAAAGGAGTGCATTTGCTGCTTGTATGGGAAAAACAGCTCATGCCTTACTTAAATCAAGTTAAAATTGAAGTGATTTGTTGATTTATTGATAGCTTGTAATTAACTGTTAATCCATGAGCTATACATGCAGGATTAATAGCAGCAATATAAGAGATAAATGACTACTAGACCCTTACAAAACCTTAGGAAACACCTTCACATACCTAAACACACTCCTATAGCAACCCCCACAGCTTCCACCCTCAAATTTGCAGGTAAATGCTCACCCCTGTCCCTTTAGCAGGAGGTTTCAGTGGTGAGAGCCCACCCTTCTCAGTGTGTTCCTGTCGGTGTGCATTCATCACCTGAGGAGATGTGGAGGCTGTGGCTGCCTTCTCACCTGGGCTGTTCCTGTCACCTGCTGATCCACCCAGCTGTTGGGGCAGGACCCCAAAGGTGACATGTGGTGGTGTTTGCAGGGGTCTTAGGATGAGGGAAGAGATGAGGATCTGATTCCATGTTTCAGAAGGCTAATTTATTTTATGATATATATTCTATTAAAACTATACTAAAAGAATAGAAGAAAGGATTTCATCAGAAGGCCAGCTAAGAATAGAAAAGGAATGGACTGATAATAAAATCTTGTGAGTGACCAGAGTCTGAGACAGCTGGACTGTGATTGGCCATTAATTAAAAACAACCACATGAGACCAATCCCAGATGCACCTGTTGCATTCCACAGCAGCAGATAACCATTGTTTACATTTTGTTCCTGAGGCCTCTCAGCTTCTCAGGAGTAAAAATCCTAAGGAAGAGATTTTTCATGAAACATGTCTGTGACAGTGACACCCCAGGAGTGATCTGTGCTTATTGAGCCCTGTGTTTTCAGCCCACTGCCAGGGGAGGGTTTTCCCTCAGGCTACCACAGAGATTGAGGTGCCAGGGGCACTTTCTTGGTATCAGGCCAGGTTTTCAGTGCTTTTTTTTCTCCCTGTTAGAAGTGTTAGGGCTTTTTATATTTGATTTTTTTAGCTGATTTTTCTTTCCCATCTGAGGTCTCTTGATAACTGCCTGATTACTGTTTAATGTGGCTGATGGTTATCTTCATTTTCAGAAAATCTCAGCAGATTTTAAGAAAACACCCTCTCGGTTCTGGATGTTTTGTATTTCTATCATAGCAGCTGATGTCCAGGATTTTTTGCCACCTTGTGCTCTATGTAGGTTTCCCCCATTTGGAGCTGTGTCTTGGGGTGCAAGGTATGTTGATAAAGAAAGAGACAAATTCCACAGAAAATGTTCCTGTTTGGAGCCTTATTTTGAAGCAGTGAACAATGAATACTGGGGAATTCTACTTGGCCTCAAAGTATTCATGATATATTAAAATTTGCAAGTTTTCTAGTAATCATAAAATAAGGAGGTTTCATTATTCAAATACAATCCATCTAATATATATCAGGTATAATTTCTGGTTTCACAGATGACAAAACTACAGGGACAGAAATACATTGGATACATTTCAGCAGCCTTCCAGAACTAAAGGGGCTGCAAAAGAGCTGGTGAGGGACTTTTTAATGGTGTGTGGGGTGATGGCTTTAAAGTGACAGGGGGTGGGTTTAGATGAAATAATAGGAAGAAATTATTCCCTGTGAGGGTGGTGAGGCCATTGAACAGGTTGCCCAGGGGAGCTGTGGGTGTCCCATCCCTGGAGAAATATTCAAGGCCAAGTTGGATGGGGCTGCCAGTAACTTAGTCTAGCACAAGTCTCTTGGCAAGGGCTTGGAACAAGGCAACCTTTAACATTTCTCTCAACCCAAGCCATTCTATGATCCTTTGTATAAAATACCACCTTTTTAGCCAAATTACAACATAAAAGAAGTTATCTTTTTATTTGGTACCTGCATTGGTTTAAGTGGTTTGAATCTCTAACCTTGATTTATTTTAAATCTAAAGTAGGGCACCCTTATATTAAAATATCACTTATTCTGTGGAAATACTAGCCAAAATGAACAATTCACTGAGAGAACCTACTGGGTAACAGGTATAAGAAGTAGTAA